GATCGTAGTAAAAAAAAGGCAATTAGAGAGTTGGAGATGTGCATTTATAGAGAACAAAATATATGTAGTTATTATAATTCTATACTATACTAAAGAGAGAATTTATGTTTTTATGGTGGACGACTGATAAAAAATGACTTCCGAAATCGTTGTGCGTCTATCATAGATAATAACTAACAAAAACTGTATTATAATCTAAACCACTACACAAAACTATAGGTGTTAAACGAAACTTCGAAGTTTCGCGCTGACAAAACGCGAAACCTAGTTTCGTCTTTCGTCAATTAAAACCTTAAATGACGAAACTGACAAAATTGTAGAGGGTGACAAAGCGAATATACAAATATACTGTATGTTGCTGAAAATCATTGATTATGTATATAAAAAATAACCTAATAAAAAATTACAAAAAATTTTATTGTATAAATAGGCGTTTGAATTTCTTAAAGGGAATTAGAAATGAGTATTCTATAATGCATTATACTAGTACACTACGTATCAGTTCTAGTGAGAAGTCGCTTGGTGTTTATTTTGTGATCTTACAAATTTATTTTGTGCTAGTATGTTTTAATTCGTTATTTGTGTTATTTCATGAGTAAGTAAGTACTATGGCTTTTTGATAAGGTTATTTCAACCGGTCTATAACAACACTGGCGTTGTTTATTTTTTTCTGGCATATATGTAACTTCGGATACTGATCTCTGAATAAATTATGAATGTTAATTCAATGAAAATAACATTTACTATTTGTATTCTTTTTTTAAGAGAGAGCACTAGGGTCTCGTCTTTTTTGGGCGTAAGGTTCCAACATTCATTTTAAGTTTAAGGTTTCGTCTTTTGTCAGAAGAATTTGGGGCTTCGACTTTCGTTAGAGGTTTCGTCTTTCGTCATCATGCGAAAAAGGTTTCGCCTAGCAAATACACACAAAACTCTAATATTGGAAGAATTTTATCGGAAGTAGAAATATTTGATCAGAGTACGTTATTAAAGTTATTGTAATTAGAGTATATTACGTCCGAAATTTAAATGTTTATTCACAGGAAGTGAATCACGATTTCAATTAAGGGACTATTAGAGTGAACCATTTTTGTTCGACTCCAAAGTGTTCGAGTTCGACTGAGCTATATAATTTTCTAACACTTAGAATGAACCTCTTCGAATGCCCAAAAATTTTAAAATTGCAGAAATTTGTACCCGATAGTTTATTTAATAAACTATTTCTATTGATTAACTTTCTATTATATTTCGTGATTAAATAGTTAAACTATGTAATTATCGAGATTAATCCAACTATATAGAATAGTTTTTATATTATCACGTTCTTTTAAATATTATTTTTATTTCTGTTGCCTTTATTCCTACTGGAAGATTCTTCATTCATCAGTCCTTATTGATGAGAATCTCTATTTTAGTGGCGGATATTCTATTAGAGTTGTACGTGGAGATACGGGTACTACTATCCAAATTTTCTATTTGAATATGTTAAACTATTTAATACAACTGACAGAAATAGAGTTCTACTTCACTTAATGAAATTCAGCCTAAAGTAAGAAGTAATGTATCATGTGCCAATTTAATAACGGACTGATTGCAATTTTTAGTGAGTTCGTTAATATAACTTATGTCGCAAATGCTATTTGGGCATTTGATACATTAAGTCAATCATAGAGTTCATGAGATGCGACAAAATCCACCTTCACCTCTGGCTGGTTATTAAAAATTTTATATATTGGTAGAATAAGTCTAATTAATTATTCATAGTATATGCCAATAGATAATGTATGTATTATCTTTTAACATAATTTTTAATAATTAATATCTCCATTCACGCGCTACACCCCTTAGCATCTTCATCAACAATAAAGTTCAATCAATATATCACATCAAATTGCTCTTAATACACGTTGCTCATTTATTTACATAGTTCTATCTTAAAAAATATATTATTCTGAGCAAAATTATATGAAGGGAAATTTCTTTACTAACTCTTAGTCTTTTTTAATTAATGATTTTATAGTTACTGTTATACAGAATAACACAAAATCTAATACGTGGACAAATATGGCACGTAATGAATAAATATAATTTTATTTTACCTTATCAATTAGAATTTAATCTAATATCATAGAGTATATCCGGACCAATACCTCCTGCTTGTATTTATTTCTCAACGGTATTAATTATCAATACTTTATAATAAATATTTTAATATACGTATATTAAAGATTTTTTTATTGATATTTTAAATTAAAGGCCTCCGACGAGCGTATTATACCATTTAGAGGTTCTAATAGAAGTAAACTTTCGGTAATCTGTGGATTTTAGAAATTGCAATCTATCAATGGTCAATTGAGGTTAATTATTTACGCGCCAGCCAACTACCAGCTTGGGAAACAAGAATCTGGTGATTATAAAAGTGTGATTATACGTATAAAGGACAAATTTTATGTTTTATATTAGCTTGAGTTAAAAATTGTGATTATGAGGGTAGTGACTATAATGAGATCTGACTTTATATAATACATACTTAGCAATAATAGCATGTCAAATACAGTCAAACCTCGAGGTCTGACTGTAATCTATTTTTAATAATATATTTGAACTAAAAAACAATTGCAAATTGAAAAAAAAACAATTATTAATTACAAATGCTATCAAATATTAACTATCATTAAACTATTAGTCTATATTTGGGCATTCAACAGGTTACTTACTAAAACAATTTAGCCATTAATAAGTATGAAAAATAACGTCTAAATCCAATGTTTTTGTTGGATAATATTCTTACCTGCATTTATTGGTCTAGGGAGATTTTGAAATTTCAAAATTCGACTTGTATAAATAGCTTGTTTATGTGTCTGGTATTTGAATCGTTGTGTCAACATGACTCGATTGAAATTTTTACCAGAGTCATCAATTACTTTAACTTGTTTATATAATTCGGGTTTATTATTGTCCGAATCATGATAAAATTGATACAGCGTATTGGCCAATTCTTCAGCTTTTAGTCTATTCTGGGGCTCAGCATCTGAGCATTTATTCATCAAATCCAAAAGTAGTATGGGAACTTCACATCTAATTTCAGGTCTATAGCCTAAAGAAATTTTAATTGCTAGTCCTTATCATGTGAATTATCATGATATGGAGGATACCCCAAAAAATTTCTGACATGATTATTCCAAAGAATAAATATCTGATTTTTGAGTATATTCTTTTTTCCACAACACTTCTGGAACAATATAAGGGAGTACACAAATAACCGTAGAATTTGAATCTTGGGACAATGAACTCGAAAGTCCCAAGTCTGCAATATAAGCGCAATGTAATTATTTTGCAAAATTTTACAAATCTATGAGAATGAATTATTTCAATATTAGAAATAGTGCAATGTAATAAATTTAATTTATCATTCAACTTCATTTGTGATACAGAGTGAAGATTTCGACGCAAAGAACCCATTTTGCATTTGTTAATACAAGGACATAATTTTTAGAGATATTATCTTTTGATATTCCGTAACATTCTAAAAATGAAGGATTATTATAGCAAATCTCACAGTAGCCTTAACTTTGACGGCAGAAAAAAAACTTGATAGTTAGTTAAAAAATGGAACATTATGTATCATCAAAAAAATTACAAATATTAGATAAAAAATCACCTCTCTTATCTCTTAATACTTTAAGCAGGCAAATTTGCCTGCAAAATTCAATTTTAATGTAATTGCCAAAAAATGAGGTGGGAGAGGTCCCCTAAGAGATACCTCATTTAATTTGGCTAGACTTGAGTAACATATTGGCAAAATGCTGATTGTATAAATTATGTCATGCATGATCTGCACTAACTAGAAAATGTGCTAATCAGGTTTTGCTGCGCCACACATTTGTTGATCAAAATCCAAAAATTGGTTAATAAAGTTTAGCGACTTTTATTTTGGATATTAATTGTTCACACTTATTCTCACGCTAAAAAATTACCTTATTTCATAAGTTTTTTTTAAAAAAATGACATCCACCACAGGAATTTTTTTTTTTTTAAAAAAAAAAACTTCCGATTTGTTCTTTTTTTTTACCTGTAAATAATTTGCAATCGTTTAAAGAATGCAACTTTAAATTTTGTGTCAGAGATATTTTTATCACAAATGAAACTTCATAATTCAAATTAAATAAAATAACTTTAGCTAAATCATTTAATATTTAAAATTAGAAGAATAGTATTTTTGGTATTAAAATTAAAGGATGGTATTTCTGGTGTTTTTCTTAAATAAAAAATAAAAAAGGTAAAACCTATTAACTAATTATTGGTTGTTAGTTTAAATTTTGATTCAAGCTTAAGAAATTTTTGTTAATTAGTTTATGATGATACAAGAAAATGAAGAATTACCTGATGAATTGGTAGACCTTTATGAGGTTTCATTTATTTCACAAACACTTGAAGATCTTTTAGCTAAAGAGATGCTTGAAGACAATGATTATGATAGCGATGGTGATAATATAGAATTGAGTAATGATACAAATGTTATTAATGAAGAACAAATCGAATCAAACATTGCAGCATCACTACAAACCAAAAAAAAAACTAGAGAAGAAAAAAAAGGTTGTGAAAGTAAAAATAGAGAAAATAATACAAGTTCAGAAAGAAAAGCTAAAGTAATTATACAATTACCTGTTCCTCCAGATTTTAATAATTTAGAACATAGTGTGCCATTTCATTCAAGTTTTGTTAGATTGCCATTAGTATTACCTGACAATAATATTAATCCATATGGACTAATTAGACTATTTTTTTCACAATCGATTCTTATTAAAATTTTAACAAACACTAATGAATATGCAAAATCAAAAAATGCCAGCATAGATGGACAAGTTTGGTTACCTTTAACATTAGCTGAATTGAAAATTTGGATAGGAATTGTTATATACATGGGTTTAATTAAGTTGTCGCAGGTAACAGATTATTGGTCAATTGATCCTAAATATCCTCAGCATGATATTATTCAAACAATGTCAATGATATGTTTTCAACAAATAAAAAGGTACTTACATATTTCAGATATTAATTCTGAAAAACTTCATTGGTTTGATAAGGTTGAACCTCTTATATCACATGTTCAAAATATTAGCAAACAAATGTATGTACCAGGTTCGAATATATCGATTGATGAAATGATAGTACGGTTTTCAGGGTATAGTAAACACACATTTAGGATGAAAAATAAACCTATATCTGAAGGTTACAAGATAATATCATTATGTGAAAAAGGCTATACTTACATATTTGTACTGGAATCACATGTTGAAAATAATAATGAAATTCCAAGTATTTTTGGTCTTAGCAAAGGATTTCTAGTTTTATATCTTGTTATGCAATTATCTAATAGTCAGGCATATAATATTTATATGGACAATTATTTTGCAAGTGTGCCTCTTTTTAATTATTTATGAATTAAAGGTTATAGTGCTTGTGGCACAGTATGAACAAATTCTGCAATGTTTCCTAAAGAATTAAAAGTTGAAAAATCTATACGTTTGAATTGGGATAATTTAGCTGGAGTAGTAGTAAATAATGTTTTAGTAATTTTTTGGATGGATAATAGTCCTGTCCATATGCTCTCAACAATTCATGGTATCAAAGGTAATGAGTGGAAAGTTTTAAGTTCAAGACGATGGCCACAAGAAACAAGCTCAAATGCAAATAATGTACGAAAAGTTTTTGGTGATGAAATCCGAAAAGAAATTTTAATTCCAAAAGCTATTTATGACTATAATCATTTTATAAATGGAGTTGATATTGCTGACCAATATCGATCTTATTACAATTGTCAGCTTACTGCTTCACATACCTGGATGTCATTACTATTTTGGCTAATAGATACAGCTATAGTAAAGTCATACATTATTTTTTGGAAAAATGGTAAATAGTTTAGCTTATTTTATCTAAGCTTTAACATTAGTATTATTTTATATACTAATTAATAAG